TACATGGAAGTGATAAAACTTTCAGTCTTTAACCCGTTGACCCTCACACACAGTACCTGCATATCTGGATGTGTGAGTGCCTGGAACACAAACCATTAGAGCTGCTGATCATGGTCAGGGCCAGATTTAGAGGTCAGGTGCCTATAGGCAAAGATTTGTAAGGCGCCCCTATCCCCTCTTGTAACGGATCGCCTGGCACCCCGACTGGGTACCTCCGTTGAAAGATGCTCCTAGCGCTTCCTGAGGACTCCAAGCACTGCAGCCGACACCACAATCACCGAACCAGAGAAGCGTATACCTTCTCTCAAGCATATGAATGCTGTAGACAGTTGAATAGGAACCATACAAATAGGTTTACTCTCCTAGCAGTCAAACTGGAACAGCATACAATAAATCCTTCCCCAATAATGAGACGCAACACTTCACTTGAGGGTTAAGCAGGAACTCCCCGTACTGTCAACAAGCATACAGCCCCTTTTAGTATTCCCAATCCACAAACATAGTACAGCCCACAGGGCGTTACAAAACAACCAATCACATCACAGTTACATCCCACATATTCCCTCCCCTTATCCTGAGAGGAAACTCAATTATACATACAGTTAAAACATACCTTCTACCCAACTTTCATAACTCCAAAACCATACATCACATTCACATAAAATTACATATTCACAATCAATCCATTCAGGGGAACAACATATTCAAAAATGGCACAAATCAGACAAGGGGTTCAAAAGTTAGTAAAAAGTCCTTGTGACTAAATGAAGCATGGCTTTCTGGCCCAAACCAGTTTCAGAGTCTTCTATCCTGAGAGTAATCCAATTATCCAGGGATAGAGGCAGACTCCATTGAGCACATGGTTGCAAAAAGACATAAAACACTTTAAAATACATAAAGTCACCTTTTACACATAACACACAGACATTTCACATATCCTCAGATAGCTGGGATCTGAGCGCACAAAAGTACCGAATAGCGCTCAGATCCTATTCACACAGTTCAATTGCCATGGAGCCGAAGTCTTTAACTACACGAATGGGCTCCATGGCATAGCTATCTGGGTTAACACATTCACATAAAGTCTGGTCCATAGTCCAAAGGCAAGAGGCGGGCAAGCAGCCCCCTCCAAGGACACGTGGCGAGGCCGGTTTCGCCACATTTCTCCCCTTTACCATCCAGACTAACAGGGTATCTGACCTCCTGCCGGTCAGTGCCCTGGTTAGTCCAGCAACCCACCCACGAAGCACAAACAGCAATACAGCCCACCCACAATAACTGGTTACTACACCTGGATAAAACAGCAACTTGTCCATGTCCAGGTGCCTCACCACGGCTGTGCGGGGGGCTGGTAGACTGCCTTGGTGGGTTGCTGAGTGGGCAGAGACCAGCGGTACTCTGCCCGGGTGCCAGAGCTACCACTGAAGTAGCCTGGTTGGAGCCTGGTTGTGGGAGGGGGAGACCGACTGTCTCCCCTCTGGATACACTGCTCTGTGGCTGGGGGACAGGACCGACTGTCCCTACCCCTGGTGCTGCAAGTGCAGAGACTACGGTCCCATCTGCATAGTTGTGGGGCTTAACATCTCCCCTTGGTGGGTTAGGCTGCCGCTGGAGAGAGGGTGTAACAAGCTCCTCTCTCTGAATTGTAGACTGCCGCTGGGGGGAGGGGGTAACCTGCTCCTCTCCCTGACACTCTCTTTGCTGGTGGAGAGGGGGACCAACTGTCTCTCCTTTCAATATTTTGTCCTGCTGCTGGGGAGAAAGACAGACTGTCTCCGCTTCCTGCAGGACACACTGCCGCTGGGGAGGAAGGACTGCACCTTCCGTTCCCTGGGAAACAGTCTGCCGCTGGGGAGGAAGGACGACCCCTTCGGCTCCCTGGGACTCACACTGCCGCTGGGGAGGAAGGACAGCACCTTCAGCTCCCTGTGATACATACTGCCGCTGGAGATCTGGGCTGACCGCCCAGCATCCCTGTAGGGCCGGTAGAGAGACCGCCGCCCCATCTCCACCTGCCATCTGTGGGTCTTCCCAGGACCAGTCTGTGAGGTCCCTCAACATTTGCAAGTAAGGACCACCTGGCAACTCCGGCTGCTGGGGATCTGGGCCGGTCCCATCTCCACCTGCCTGTTGTGGTTCCTCACAGGACCAGTCTATGAGGACCCCTACTTCGGGTTCCTGCGGCCGCCTCAGGGGGAGACAGCTAGCCTCCTCGGATGCAGCCTCTACTCGGCTGCTGTAACACTCCTTCCGCTGAGCATACTCTCTCTCTTTCGCCAGCCGGAATTCTCGGGCCAGCCTTGTGTTTCGCTCGGCCGTGACCTGGTTCCAGATCACCCGGCGTACCTCCATGGGTAAATCATCCCCATACTGGGCCACTCGCTGCCTCACCTCAGCCATCCAATCATCGCCAGAGCCTTCCATACTTGTCTGCTCCAAGTCGCTGGATACCTCTGCTCCCAGGGGCGCTGCACGTGTGCTAGCGTTGCCCTCAATTTGTAACTCCAAACGAACTGTGTCTCTGAGCTGCTTTACCTCGCACTAGGACGCCATCCCACCGCTGCCACCAATGTAATGGATCACCTGGCACCCCGACTGGGTACCTCCGTTGAAGGATGCTCCTAGCGCTTCCTGAGGACTCCAAGCACTGCAGCAGACACCACAACCACCGAACCGGAGAAGCATATGAATCCTCTCAAGCATATGAATGCTGTAGACAGTTGAATAGGAACCATACGAATAGGTTTACTCTCCTAGCAGTCAAACTGGAACAGCATACAATAAATCCTTCCCCAATAATGAGACGACACTTCACTTTGAGGGTTAAGCAGGAACTCCCTGTACTGTCACATACAGCCTCTTTTATTCCCAATCCACAAACATAGTACAGCCCACAGGGCGTTACAAAACAACCAATCATATCACAGTTACATCCCACATATTCCCTCCCCTTATCCTGAGAGGAAACTCAATTATACAAACAGTTAAAACATACTTTCTACCCAACTTTCATAACCCCAAAACCATACATCACATTCACATAAAATTACATATTCTCAATCAATCCATTCAGGGGAACAACATATTCAAAAATGGCACAAATCAGACAAGGGGTTCAAAAGTTAGTAAAAAGTCCTTTGTGACTAAATGAAGCATGGCTTTCTGGGCCAAAACAATTTCAGAGTTTTCTATCCTGGAGATAAGTAATTCAATTATCTCCCAGGACAGACACAAGACTCCATTAAGCACATGGTTGCAAAGAGACACAAAACACTTTAAAATACATAAAGTCACATTTATTACATAAAACACAGACATGTAACATATCCCCAGATAGCTGGGATCTGAGCCACAAAACCAAATTTAATAGCTGTGATCCTATCTTCATTATTAGTTCAATCTGCCATGGAGCCGAAGTCTTTAACCAAATTTAATGGGCCCATGGCATAGCTATCTCAAGCAACACATTCACATAAAGTCTGGTCCATAGTCCAAAGGCAAGAGGCGGGCAAGCAGCCCCCTCCAAGGACATGTGGCGAGGCCGGTTTCGCCACACCTCTCATTTTCAAAAACAAAATGCAGATAAGCTTTTTTTAACAGACATAAAAATATTTAAAAAAACATATTTATATTGGATAACTGAGTATATAAATGGCCGTATTCTGCTTGTATTGTGTTTGAATCTGTGAGTACAGGCAGTGTATACATGCATGGTTTAAGGTTAGACAGTTAGATTACATATACATTTAGTGCTATGTGTTGGCCTCCAGATGCTGATGGCCAAAATTCCTCAAATGCAATTGATCAGGGGTTCCCAACCCAGTCCTCAAGTACCCCCTACCAGTCCAGGATTTAGGGATTACCCCGTTGTCGTTAAAGTGTTTTTTTTTTCTTCTAAAAATACCTTAGACACAACTGGTTAATCCTTAAATCTTGGACTGGTAGGGGGTACCTGAGGACTGGGTTGGGATCCACTGCAATAGATGGCCAGGGAATCATGGGAGTTGTAGTTTGCCTCCTCATTCTGAGATGCCTAATGGAAAGCATGACAGGATGGAATTGTGGTATAAAATTTAGAATAAAGATATAATAGCTCCAGATATCAGGAAAACCTACTCTGATGCAAAAAAATGGGTTGAGGAGTTAAAAAAAGGCCTTGGCCAGAGCAAATGGCAGGAATAGACCAAAAAACAAATGAGAGCCAGAGCCTCAAAAAATGATCCTATCCTCACTGAGATACCTCCAATGTTAGGACATTCTAAGGTAATGGCAAATAATAACTTTATTAGTAACAGAGAACCAGTAACATACAAAACACACAATGTGCCCCCAACAAAAAGTGAGGTAAATTAAACAGTCAAAATCTAGACTACTTAATGCAGTTAAAAAGAATGGGGAGTCAAGGGTAAAACTGGGATGTCGACAAAAGGTCGTAAGGAGGTAATCGCATGTAATAAGCAGCCATAAAGGTCTTGTATTTAAATCCCTCAATACAACTAATAGGTGCTGTAGTAACTATAAATAGTAGAGATGGATAGACAGAGGGGCGCAAAGACAATACATAAAGAATAACCCCGGATTAGTTCTAGATAAAAGGAGGTTCCTAAAAAAAAAAAAGATTACATGTAGTTCTTAGATGTTATTACTTAGGTAACTGTGGCGGTCCGCCAATATATCACTGCCACAGATTCCCGTTTCCCCAAATTAAACTGCACCAATAATGCTGAGTAAAATATCGTCAGTATCGCTGGGGCATTCCTCATTCCGAACGGCATAACCAAAAACTGGTATAAGCCGAATGGAGTGACGAATGCCAGTTTGGGAAAAGCCTCCTTGGCTAGGGGGATCTGCCAATATCCCTTGCAGAGGTCGATAGTAGTCAGATAACGTCCCCTAGCTACCGTATATACTTGAGTATAAGTCGACCTAAATATAACTCGAGGCCTCTAATTTTACCCAAAAAAACTGGGGAAACTTATTGACTTGAGTATAAGCCTAGGGTGGGAAATTCAGCAGCTACTGGTAAATTTCTAAATAAAATTAGATCCCAAAAAAATTATATTAATTGAATATTTATTTACAGTGTGTGTATAGAATGAATGCAGTGTGTGTGTGTATATAATGCAGAGAGTGTGTGTGTGTATGTGTATAATGCAGAGTGTGTGTGTGTATGAATGCAGTGTGTGTGTATATAATGCAGTGTGTGTGTATATAATGCAGAGAGTGTGTGTGTGTGTGTGTGTATGTGTATAATGCAGAGTGTGTGTGTGTATGAATGCAGTGTGTGTGTATATAATGCAGTGTGTGTATATAATGAATGCAGTGTGTGTATATAATGAATGCAGTGTGTGTGTATGAATGCAGTGTGTGTGTATGATGCAGAGTGTGTTTGTGTATGTGATGCAGAGTGTGTTTGTGTATATGATGCAGGGTGTGCTTGTTTATGTGATGCAGAGTGTGTAACCTTGGTGGGGGGTGGGCATTTTTATTTTTATTTTTTAATATTAATATATATTTTTTAATATCATTACATTTTTATTTTATTTTATTATAATATTATTAAAAATGTTTATTTATATTTTTTTTGTTCGACCTCCCTGCCTGGTACGTGGCCAGGGAGGGGGGCTATATTATTCCCTGGTGGTCCAGTGGATGGGCCGTGCAGGAGGGGGTCTGGCAGCGAGCTGTTACTTACCTTTACAGCAGCTCCTGTCAGCTCCCTTCTCCTCAGTGCCATTCAGCTCCAGTGTAAATCTCGCGGTCTGTGTGCCGCACGGAGCGTTGCCGACGGCTGAGGCTCTCGCGACACTTACACTGGAGCTGAACAGCATGGAGGAGAAGGGAGCTGACAGGAGCTGCTGTAAATGTAAGTAACAGCTTGCTCCCAGCCCCCAACAGGACCGCCGGGCTTATTACAAGTTGCCATAATACAGACACTGACTCGAGTATAAGACAAGTGGGGCTTTTTCAGCACAAAAAAAGTGCAGAACAACTCGTCTTATACTCGAGTATATGGTATATGGTCCAATAGTTAGTCTACCCTGGGCATATGGTAGGCGTCGGTGACCGTCTTGTAGATGAGTCGCCTGTAATCCACGCAAAAACGGGTTGTCTTGTCCCATTTGGTACTAAGACTACAGGTAAGGCCCAAGGACTCTCAGAGTGCTCAATGACCCCTAAGCGGAGCATTTCAGTTATTTCCTTCCGCATTACTTTCCGGACTGCCTTTGGGATGTGGTATGGGGCTTGTCTCAAGGGGGCTTGGCTTGGGGTGTCCACTTTGTGGGTAGCTAAGGTGGTGTATCCTGGCTCTTTTGAGAAGGTTGCATGTTTGGTTTCCAGCAAGTGGATCGCTTGGGCCCGCTCCTCTACTCCCAGTCGTTCCCCTAGCTGGACCAACTCTATGGCCCTTTCTCTCGGGTCAATTCCTAGCCAGTCGGGTAAGGGTAGGACATCAGGATCCTCTGACGCTGGGACACATACTGCAGCTACCTCTTCCTCTCTGCCTTTGTACTCCTTGAGCATGTTTATGTGAAAGGTCAGTTTCACCTGCTCATCCTCGCAACTTGCCCCCGTGTATGTGGTATCACATAGCTGCCCAATCACCTTATAGGGTCCCTGCCAGGCGCCTGTAGTTTATCTTGTCGGACAGGTTTAAGTACCGGATGTCCTATGATTAATAGCAGGAGCTGTTATACAAGGTGTATGATTCAGTGCTGTCCTGTTTGATAGCAGGAGCTGTTATACAAGGTGTATGATTCAGTGCTGTCCTATGATTGATAGCAGGAGCTGTTATACAGGGTGTATGATTCAGTGCTGTCCTATGATTGATAGCAGGAGCTGTTATACAGGGTGTATGATTCAGTGCTGTCCTATGATTGATAGCAGGAGCTGTTATACAGGGTGTATGATTCAGTGCTGTCCTATGATTGATAGCAGGAGCTGTTATACAGGGTGTATGATTCAGTGCTGTCCTATGATTGATAGCAGGAGCTGTTATACAGGGTGTATGACTCAGTGCTGTCCTATGATTGATAGCAGGAGCTGTTATACAGGGTGTATGATTCAGTGCTGTCCTATGATTGATAGCAGGAGCTGTTATACAGGGTGTATGATTCAGTGCTGTCCTATGATTGATAGCAGGAGCTGTTATACAGGGTGTATGACTCAGTGCTGTCCTATGATTGATAGCAGGAGCTGTTATACAGGGTGTATGACTCAGTGCTGTCCTATGATTGATAGCAGGAGCTGTTATACAGGGTGTATGACTCAGTGCTGTCCTATGATTGATAGCAGGAGCTGTTATACAGGGTGTATGACTCAGTGCTGTCCTATGATTGATAGCAGGAGCTGTTATACAGGGTGTATGACTCAGTGCTGTCCTATGATTGATAGCAGGAGCTGTTATACAGGGTGTATGACTCAGTGCTGTCCTATGATTGATAGCAGGAGCTGTTATACAGGGTGTATGACTCAGTGCTGTCCTATGATTGATAGCAGGAGCTGTTATACAGGGTGTATGACTCAGTGCTGTCCTATGATTGATAGCAGGAGCTGTTATACAGGGTGTATGACTCAGTGCTGTCCTATGTTTGATAGCAGGAGCTGTTATACAGGGTGTATGACTCAGTGCTGTCCTATGATTGATAGCAGGAGCTGTTATACAGGGTGTATGACTCAGTGCTGTCCTATGATTGATAGCAGGAGCTGTTATACAGGGTGTATGATTCAGTGCTGTCCTATGATTAATAGCAGGAGCTGTTATACAGGGTTACACATGATGAGGCTGCTCAGGAACTCATGAGTCAACTTCAGCCATGTTTCACGTATTCCAGTCTACATGGGACATAGTGTTCATAGTACTAACGGCTTTTTCCGACATGGTCCTTATTATGGGTGTGCGTCTGTCTCGGCTACATTTGCCGTTGAAGCGATTTAAAAACAATAAAATCACAAAACTCCTACCTGATATAATATGTCACTAGTTATTCATGTAAAGTCACTTATTTTTATAAACGCTGAAAAGAGAAAGAAAACGAAATATTCTGAGACCAAAACACAAATAAGTTGCAGCAAAGCTTTCAATCAGACAGGGTTATGCAATAAAGTGAGAATTGTTGGAAATCGCAAATTTAAGGCCAAATAAGTTAAACTGAAAACTTAGCTGACATTCAGCTGCTTTGGTCCATAACTTAGTAACCTGGTAAATGTAAGAGATGATGCAGCAGTAATCAGTCTGTAAAGGCAGTTTGATTCCAGAACCGATTCGGGATCTTAAAGAGTCACAAAATCTCAGTATGTATCCCTAATGGGCACAATCACAATCAATAACGCCATCTTTTATAGTCAGAATTTAAAATAAATCTTGAGGCCATGTGAGCGATGTATCAGGAGCCAACCTGAACAAAAAGGATTTAAAGGGCCACTATAGGCACCCAGACTTCAGCTCAATGAAGTGCTCTGGGTGCCAGGTCCATCTAGGGTTAACCCTGCAGCTGTAAACATAGCAGTTTCAGAGAAGTGTGGGTTAGGGTTAACCCATCCTCTAGTGGCTGTCTCATTGAAAGCCGCTAGAGGCGTTTCCTATGAACTGATTGAATGCACACGCATTCAGTGGATGACGTCGGAAGAGGTAAGTGTTTAACCCCTTCCTCCCCCTTCAGCCTGGTGGGAGTGGGACCCTGAGGGTGGGGGGGACCCAAAGACCCCATAGAGCCAGGAAAACGAGTTTGTTTTCCTGGCACTATAGTGGGCCGTTAAACCAAAACGTCCCCATACTAGGCTCAATCTGGTAAAACTATCCGTAGAGACCAGGATATATAGCAGCTAATCAGGCAGAAACCCTGAATGGTATCAGTATTTGGTTCCCAGTGATTTATGGAATCAAACAAACAGCTACTTTCATTTAGTGAGCACTTGCCCTCACAGTGATTTTTATTGATTGGAGTCTTGTAGTGTACAGCAATTATTGTGGCCTGTAAGCTAACCTGGCTGTCCCCCATTTCAGCACCACGGATAGTGGATGTGACAAGCATTGCCCACCGAGCATGGAAAACCCCTAACACAAGTAAAATAGATAAACTATCCAATGATCAGCCAATTCTGAAGTATTGCACAGGCCAATGCAGACAATTCTTTAACCTTGTACTTGCCATAAATAAATGGACGTCTTGCAGCTCTGTAGCACTCGCATACTGATACGGAATGAAATACACACACACACACCGCATATGTATGTAATCCCCTGAGTTCATGCTAAATATTGATAATTAAGGGGTAACGCTAACCGCTGATGCTCTGCTCCTCGTCTTTGGCCTATCTATGACTGTGCCTTATGAGATTACTATAAGCACAACGTATCGCTCCATCGAATAACTAGTCTCCGCAATAATTCCGGCCTCCTTCTACTAATCTTAATGGACTTTTAAACTCCAGATTCTTGCACAAGTGTCACAATGATGTTGTGACATACTTTATCAGTGTCACGGTTATAGAATCCTTGCTGTGCTGCTGTCATGCATGAAAAAGGGCATTCATTCTCAGGATGAGAATATCATTTTGCCTCATTATAAATAACATATTGAATATGCTGTGCAATTTTGGGCAACTGTTCTACAGAAGGATACTATGGCACTAGAAAAATGCAGAGGCGGGTGTGGCGAAAGTAACCTCACCACTGGTTTTTGGAGGGGCCTGTTTGCCAGCCTGCGACTATGGCCCTGGGACGTATTGCCCTTCTAGGGAACTGATGTGGGCATACTTGATTTTATCATGCTGCTGCTGGCCCTTTAAGAACCATCTGGGGACATACTGTGGAGTTACTGGGTGGCCACCATTTCATGTATCAGAAGCACATGGTGAGAACAATGGATGAAGCACATGGCGAGAACAATGGATGGCGGCCATTTTAACTCCCAGACACTGTGTGGACTTTTCTACACGGTGCCATCTCGACAGTATTTGGTGCACAGAGACATCGTGCAGTAGTTTTAAACTATACAACAGGGGACACATTATACAGTAATTATTTTTTATGTAGCCTGTATATGTTCTGCAGAATCTGCATTAAACTGTATCTTCCAAACTACTGAACGGATCTGGGTGAATTTTGGATATGTGGTTCACCCAGATCCCCCGGTTCTGAGAATACAACATTTTTATGGGGTTATTGCATGTTTTGGGGTCCCTGTGATATGTTTTATAATACTGTATTTCTCTGTCTGTGATAATTAAGTTAG